TCTTCTTTGTAGGTAAAGATTTAATTACATTTTCAATTTCATTAATAGAGATTGGGTTATTCGTCAGGTTTACATCTTCATGACCTAGCTTTGATACTTCATATGCTTCTAGGAATCTATTTCCTCTGTGTTATCAAACCTTTGAGGGTAGAGGTTTTCGAAATGGGTGTTGAGATCTTCTGTATTTCTACAGTCTGTAGTGATTTTGCCTTTTTCATTCCTTATTGCATGAATTTGAGCTTTTTCTTGCCTTTTTAAAATAAGGTTGGCTAGGGGCTTGTTGATTTTATTTATTCTTTCAAAGAACCAACTCTTTGATTCATTGATTTATTGGATTGTTTTTTTAGTCTCTATTGCATTGATTTCTGCTCTGATTTTTATAATTTCCTCTCTTATTTTGGCTTTGGACTTGACTTGCTCTTCTTTTTCTAAATGTTTGAGGTGTAACATCAGGTTATTTATTTGTATTCATTTTGTTTTCCTGATGTGGAACTCAGTGCAATAAATTTTCCTCTGAGGACAGCTTTCATTGCATCCCACAGATTCCAGTAGGTTGTATTTGTGTTTTCATTTGTTTGAAGGTATTGTTTAATTTCTTCTTTAATTTCCTCTGTGACCCACTGATTACTCAAGAGTGTGTTATTCAGTTTCCATATGTTTGTGGGATTTTTACAGTATCTTTTATCATTTATTTTTAATTTCATAGCGCTATGATCTGATAGCATGCAATGGATAATTTCAACTCTTTTGCATTTACTTAAATATGTTCTGTGAGTTAATATATGGTCTATTTTAGAGAATGATCCATGTACTGCTGAGAAGAATGTGTATTCTGTTGTTGTTGGGTGGAATACTCTGTATATGTCTATCAGGTCCATTTGTGCACAGGTGTGATTCAGTTCTTTTATTTCTTTGCTGATTTTCTGTCTGGTTGATCTGTCCATTGGTGTCAATGGTGTGTTAAGAACTCCTGTTAGAATTGTGTTACTGCTAATTTGGTTTTTCATTTCTGTTAATACTTGTTTTATATAACTGGGTGCTCTGGAATTTGGTGCATATATATTTAAGATAGTTATCTCTTCCTCTTGAAGTTTTCCCCTAACCAGTAGGTAGTGACCTTCTTTATCCCTTCTGATCATTATTGGCTTGAAGTTGACATTGTCTTCAAACAGAATAGCTACCCCCGCTTGTGTGTGTGTGTGTGTGTGTGTGTGTGTGTGTGTACCTGTTGCATGAAGTATTGTTTTCCATCCTTTGACTTAGTCTTTGAGTATCCTTTTGGGTTAGATGGGTTTCTTGTAGACAGCATATTAGATTTTGTTTCTTGATCCATTCTGTCAGTCTGTTTCTTTTAATTGGTGCATTGAGACCATTTACATTAATGGTTATAACCGTTATATATTGGTTTATGGTTGACATGTTATCTTTCTCCTGTTGCATCTTTATCTTTCTGTTCTGTTTAATTGTCTGCTTTGTTTAGTGTTTTTTTTTCCTAAATGTATCTAGGCTGTCTTTCAGTATTCTTTGCAGGGTTGGCTTGGTGATCATGAAGTTCTTCAGCTGTTCTTTGTCATGGAAGTATCTTATTTCTCCATCAATTTTGAAGGACAGTTTTGCAAGATACATCAGTCTAGGTTGGAAATCATTTTCCTTTAGGATCTGAAATGCTCTTCTTGACTTTATTGTTTGTGCTGAGAAATCTGCTGTGATTCTGATAGGTTTTTCTTTGTAAGTGATCTGTCTTTTCTCTCTGTTTTTAATATTCTATTTAATATTCTATTCTTTTGTTCGATTTCTGGGATGGCGATTATTATATGTCTGGTTGTAGTTTTATTTTGGTTATGGCTATTTGGAGTTCTGTATGCTTCATTGATCTTGATATCAGTTTCCAATCTCATGTTTGGGAAATTTTCAGCTATTACTTCTCTAAATATCCTCTTGACATCCTTTATGTTGTTCCCTTCTTTGTTGTTCCTCTTTGTGTCATCTTGCAGGTGTTGAATTGTTATTTCCTGATTTCTTGTTATTTTTAAAAGATCTTTCCTTTCCTGTTCACTGGCTGCAATCTTGTCTTTGAGGTTTGAAATTCTATCTTCACTTTCATTGAGGCGGTTTTTACAACTTTCAATGGAATTTTTGATTTCCTGTATATCTCTTTGCATCTGCTTTATATATTCTGTTTGTTTCTTATATTGTTCATCCAGGGATTCTATCTTTTTGTTTAGTTCCTCCAATTTTTAACTGTGTCTTCTTTAGATATGTTCAGCATCTCCTTCATTTCTTTTATCATTTCTTCTTTTACCTGAGAGATTATTTCTGGTTTGAATTCCTTTAAGGCTTCCCAGAGCTGCTTCTTTATTTCAGTTACTATTATTTCAGGTATGTGGCATGTATTTTCTTCTATGTACATGGCTCCTAGGCTTTCTTGGGATGGGTTGGATGTTTGAGATTGCATTTTGGTCTGTCGTTTTGTCATTTTCCTATATTTTCGAGCTTCAAGTGTTGTTCCAAGCTTCCCCTGGGCATGTTGGAAATTGTCTCTTATGTCCTGGACTCCTGGGACTCCTCTGGTGGTGTAGCTCCCTCCTTGGGCAGCAAAGCCCTCAGATTAAGAGAAGGTTGCCAGGCTCCTCTCAGGTAGATCTAAAGCCTCCCCAAGCTATACCGCTCCCCCCTGTGGCAGCAAAGCTTCCCTCCTCAGCTGGGCTGCTCCCTCCTCCAGGCAGTGGCAATAGTGCTGGAACTCTCCAGGCTGAAAGAAGGTCGCAGGTAAGGTCAGAGCACTTTCCCACAGCTTGGCCCAGTTCCCTCCTTGGGTGGGGCAGCTGCCTTGTGCCCTCTGGGTGAGAGAGGGTGGTCAGCAAGGCCAATGGGGTCCTGCTGCTCGGCCCACCTCACTCTTCCCGGCAGGAGCTGTGACGTGACCCCCAGGTTAGAGAGAGAGAGAGACAGACAGACAGACAGACAGAGAGAGACAGAGACAGAGAGAGAGACAGAGAGAGAGAGAGGTCTGCCAGGCTGGGATGTGGTTCCGAGGCTCAGCCCCACTGTTCCCGGCCAGGCGGCTATGCTCTTTAAGTTGCGATGTAGTGTGTTTGTGTGAGGCACTCCCTTAAGAATCTGATGACTGCTACAGACTTTTAACTAACAAGGAAAAAAAAAGTACATAGCATACACTAACAGTTTTTTTATTTAACTTCAGGAGCCTCATAGACCCTGAAAATACCTCTAAGACCTAAATTTTATGAAACCATGCTGTGATCAGAAAAAATCCAAAATATGGAGAAAACTACAACTAATTCTCTATCCTTAAAAATATGTGATGTAAAAATAGGGATAAAGATAGAAGAGTGTAATTGTTCAAGAACAAAAATGTCTTAGCTGTGAAGCACAGTAATCAAATGTGCTGTGTAGACTTGGATGTGCTGTGTAAACCAGCAAGTGACTGGTTTCTGAGGCTCACTGAACGGTCATCCATATTTTTGTGTTTGTGTGTGGTGCTGGGATCGAACTCATGACTTCGTGTTTGCCAGGCAGGCACTTAGCTGCTGAGCTAAACCCCCAGCCCATCCATATTCTTTTTGATTTTGGAATCACCACAGACAATTCACTGAGTTTTGTTTTTTACCACAGACAATTCACTGAGTTTTCTTTTTTACCACTGATTCCCTGACTTTAGATTGACTTCTGTTGGAAGGAAAATAAGACTATAAGGCCATTATAAGATCAACCAATAACTTTGAATCAGGTAGGTACTGCTATTGCTTCAGGGTCTTTCAAGGAGTTTATTCATTTCATCCATGTTGTCAAATTTGTAGGCATAAGAGTTTTTTAAATAGTAGTCTTTATCTTTTCAGGTGTCTGTAGGATATATGCTCCTACATACCTGATATTTTTAACGAACTTTTTGACATATGAGTACACAGAAGCCAAAGTGGAGAACTAATTCAGGTCAAGCTACCAAGCAAGCTGGGCTATCCTTACTTTCACTGCCTTGCCTAGCTGTCAAGTGAATTATCCATTTTGAGGCTTTCTGCTCCAAGCCCATAACTCATATAGTTCATGTGGCCCGATGAGTAACATGTAAGAACCCAACTGCAGATTCACAGCTCTCATTGCCCTTGGTCTTTGAGATGAATCTAACTACTCAGAATGTTCTGCTATCCTCCAAAGAAAAACAAATCCAAAGATTCAGGGATTAGAATAACAAAGTAGAGGTTGTGGCAGAGAATGAAAGTGGCAAGGATGGTCTGCCTGCTTCCTAGAAACAATTGGAAGGCTCAGCTTCCATGGGAATAGGCAGTTCTGAAAAATCTGTTGTACGAAAGATCAAGGTGATATCAGGATGACTGGCAGTGATAGCTTCTACTATGTTTTTTTCCTTTAAATCTTATCTCTTGTTAGAAGGAAGGATACTAAATTAATAGGCAACTGGGAACCTGTTTGAGGCTACATGTAGTCTTTTTACTTCTTATTTCATCACTCTTTCAAACTCCAAGTCCAAGTTCCTACAGAGGCAATGAAAGGCATAGGACTCTCTAATTTTCTTTTCTAAACGGGTTCATTCTTTAGTGGGATCCAATGATAAACTCACCAGATGGTACTGGCTAGAACTTGGTGAATCTTTTTTCCTTTACTCTGAGCATCTCAATTCCCAGCACAATTTCTATTTGGGACTCAAGTCATGCACAGCTATGGTCAAGGAATTAGTCTCCACAGAGACAGGATGTTGGACCTTCTGCTTCTTAAATCCATTCTCTTTCTACTTCTTATATTAATGCAAATGTGCATTAGTTTTGTAACCTTTGCTTTACTTCCTGTATTTTTTGTGGGGGAGGGCAATAGTGGGAGACAAAGAAGGAAGACAAGGACAAACTCTTCAAGAACACCACAGGTGAGCACCACTGGTTGCTGAGTCATTTTCTCAGCAGCATGTATCTCGTATAACCTTCCTAGAAAAATGAATTTTTTGGGGAAAAGAAACATATCAAAGTGCTTGCTGCCAATAAGAACCTCCTCTTTATTCTACTGCAGAAACAGAGCTGGGTAGGGAAAGCACTTTGATCTGGTCCCTAGAAATGAATCTCTAGGTTCTGATGAGCAAGGCTTTCTCCAATTAAGAATGTGAAGTTCTAACCTCTAGCCAGTCCCAAATTTGTGAGTGGTGGCAATGATGCGGGGAAATCCCTTAGTGAGGCAAGTATCAGCTTGGGGCAGGCTCTTCCAGGCAAGTTCTAAGATCCCATATTTGGCAATACCTACAGGAAGGAAAGTGCACACATTATTCTGTCCAGGAAGGGGTATCACATTCTGGAACCCCAGACTGCTTGGGGTATGAGAGCCACCACAAATCAGGCAGTAAAACACCCGTTCCCCAGGTACTGGCTCCATAGCCTGCAGGGCCTCTTTTTTGATGATCTGTTTGGGTTGAGGCTCTTTTCCCAGTAGCAGATCTTGTAGCAGCCTCTGGATTCTGGGAGACTTGAGCTGGTACAAGTCCATGAGCTGATGGAACTGTTCCGTCCAAGCAGCAGAGTCCTTACCATATCGCTGCTGCAGCATCCGCAAAACATGGTACAGTGCCACAAGTGTCTCCCAAGGAGGTATCTTTTCCTTCTTTTGTGAGACAGGCTGTGTCTTCTTCTCCAACTTGGGCAGTTTAAGAAACCTGTCCTTATCCTTAAAATCCCTGAGGTCCTTCTGAAACATTAGTGCCATGGTTTGTTTTTCCACAGAGGCATGGGCACCTGTGAAGAGGTCTCTTGTGTCAGGATAAAAATGTGTCTGCATTTCCCTGAGAGCACTGGATAGCTGCTGTAGCCGTGCGCTTCTGCAAGGTTCACCTAGAAGATGCCAGTTTGTGGCCTTTGGGTCTGTAATCACCTTGGCAGGTAATGGGGACTCTGGTGTGAGGACAGTCAAGGATTTTAGCCAACTTTCCTTCTCCTTTCCTTTTATAGAAGGAATCGCTTGCAGGTCTTTTAGACTCATGGGTTCCTCCCATCCTCCCCTTTCCTTTCCTTTTATAGGAGGAATCGCTTGCAGGTCTTTCAGACTCATGGGTTCCTCCCATCCTCCCCTTTCCTTTCCTTTTATAGGATGAATCGCTTGCAGGTCTTTCAGACTCATGGGTTCCTCCCATCCTCCCCTTTCCTTGCTTTTTATAGGAGGAATCGCTTGCAGGTCTTTTAGACTCATGGGTTCCTCCCATCCTCCCCTTTCCTTTCCTTTTATAGGAGGAATCGCTTGCAGGTGTTTCAGACTCATGGGTTCCTCCCATCCTCCCCTTTCCTTTCCTTTTATAGGAGGAATCGCTTGCAGGTGTTTCAGACTCATGGGTTCCTCCCATCCTCCCCTTTCCTTTCCTCTTATAGGAGGAATCGCTCGCAGGTGTTTCAGACTCATGGGTTCCTCCCATCCTCCCCTTTCCTTTCCTCTTATAGGAGGAATCGCTTGCAGGTGTTTCAGACTCATGGGTTCCTCCCATCCTCCCCTTTCCTTTCCTTTTATAGGAGGAATCGCTTGCAGGTGTTTCAGACTCATGGGTTCCTCCCATCCTCCCCTTTCCTTTCCTCTTATAGGAGGAATCGCTTGCAGGTGTTTCAGACTCATGGGTTCCTCCCATCCTCCCCTTTCCTTTCCTTTTATAGGAGGAATCGCTTGCAGGTGTTTCAGACTCATGGGTTCCTCCCATCCTCCCCTTTCCTTTCCTCTTATAGGAGGAATCGCTTGCAGGTGTTTCAGACTCATGGGTTCCTCCCATCCTCCCCTTTCCTTTCCTTTTATAGGAGGAATCGCTTGCAGGTGTTTCAGACTCATGGGTTCCTCCCATCTTCCCCTTTCTTTTCCCTTTATAGGAGGAATCACTTTCAGATGTTTCAGAGTCATGAATTTCCTGCTGGGCTCCGAGGCCCTTGTGCTTCGCGACTCCAGAGCCTGCATGTGATGGTGCACGATGTTGTCAAGCATGGCCGGATGGAGCCACTCTAAGTTTCCCTCTGAGGTCAGGTCTTTGAGGAGCTGACATAATCTGTGGAAGCTGTCTCTGGGAAGCTGTTCTCCTGCTTCCATCTGTTCTAGGACCTGATGGATCCACTCTGTATCTGTGAGGCTTACTTGTACCTCTGGATGTTGTTTGTCAGTCAGGACCTGAGCAAGAGGTGGCTGTACCTTAATTTTTTCTGTCAGAGATGGATGATGCTCCAAAACCCCCTTCCACCTGGCATCGGGGAGTCTCTGTTCGAGTGTGGGGGCCTCTATTGTTTTCCTAAATATATTGGACATGAATGTTGTCTTCATGTCCTGCTCTTGGGACACTAAATCTGTATGCAGTACATGTAGTGGAATGGGTTTATCCTTCCTGTGTATCTTTGAGAATGTCCTGTATGCCTGGAGTAGTGTGGGTTTTTCTGCCAAGGATGGTTGTGTAATTGGCAGTGGCATTTGTATCTTCCCTTCCATGTCCATATGTACTGAGATTGATTGTCTGGAAGGGATTTTTAAAGCCGTCAGTTTTATATCACTGCCTTTGACCCAATCAGATATTTCTCTAAGAGAAGGAACAGCTTCCCTTTCTTGTGTAATTGGCAGTGGCATTTGTATCTTCCCTTCCATGTCCATATGTACTGAGATTGGTTGTCTGGAAGGAATTTTTAAAGCCCGCAGTTTTATATCACTGCCTTTGACCCAATCAGATATTTCTCTAAGAGAAGGGACAACTTCCCTCCCTTGTTGGTCCTTTCCTCTTTCTCCTTGTAGTTTAAATAGTTCTTCCCTTTTTAACATGTCTTTTTTCTTGTCCACTTCTATTGAGCTTCTTTCCTCTTCTGTCTCACTCAGACTTTCCAACTCTTCGTCACTCATGCTTTCTTCCTCACTCATGCTTTCTTCCTCCTTGGAACCTTCATCCTCCTCCTCCACTTTCTTTTTCTTCTTCCTCTTTTCTTCCTTTTCTTCTTCCTCTTCCTCCACCTCTATCTCTTCTTCTCCCTCTTTCTCTTCCTCCATCTCCTCTGCTTCCCTCTTCTCCTCTTGTTCCTCCTCTTCCTCTTCCTCCTCTTCCTCCTCAGACAAACTCTCTTCCTCTACTTCTTCTAACAGGCATTCTATTTCTGTAGAAAGGCTCTCAGCACTTTCCATCTCATCCACTTTTCTGTAGAACTTTCCCTTCAGGGTATCAAGTTCTTTTGGCTTTTTTGTTTTTCTCCACTCCTGTTTAAGGAATGGGATTCCCTCTTCTTCTTCTTCTTCTTCTTTGTCTTCTTCTTTTTCTTCTTCTTTGCTTTTTGCTTTTTCTTCTTCTTTGTCTTCTTTTTCTTCTTCCTTTATTTTTTCTTCCTCTTCCACAGCCTGTATGGCTTCTCTCTGTTCTTTGGCCAATCTAATCTCTTCCTTAGCCATTTTTTCCTCTTGCTTTGTAATATTTCTCATTTTCCTGGCCAATTTCCTCTGCTTCTTAGCCAGTTTCTCTTCATCTGTGGCCAAATCTGATTTTTGCTCAGCAAAATTTAGCTCTTTGATATCAAGTCTGCTCTGTTCCTTGCGCAGCCTGCTCTCTTTCACAATAAGTGACCGCTTTATCTTTGTCATCTTTATTTCTTCTTGGGTTATCTTCCTTTCGTCACCGATTTGTTTTTGAAGTACATTGGTGACCCTGCTCAGTTTTGTTGGCTCCTTAGAAATATTCTCCTCCTCTCTCAGCTTCCTTGTAATTTTAGCTAATTTCCTCTGTTCTTTAGCAGATGCTCTCTGTTCACTAGCAAATTCCAGTTTTCCTTTGACAATGTCCATTCTCTCTGTGGCCAGAATCCTATCTTTATATCTTAATAGCTTCTCCTCTAGTGACAGTTTCTTCTTCATTAGGTCTATTTCTTGTTTAGTTAGTTTTGGTTTTCCTGGGGTTTCTTGAGTCCCTTCCTTGGAGAGAATTTCCATCTCTTTAGCCAGTCTCATCTTCTTTTGGGCCAACACCTTCATTTGCATGCCCAATTTCTGTTCTTCTTTAGCCACATCCAGCTCATCTCTGAGCATTCTCCTTCCTTGGAGCACTGCCTTCTTTGCCACAGATAATTCCATTTTTTCCTGGGCCACTTTCTTCTGGTTTCTAGCCAGAGCTCCACCTGCTTGAACCAGGTTCTTCTCTACAGCATCCAGTTTCTCCTTCTTCTTGACCAATCCCTCATTTTCCTGACTCAGCTTCTCCTCTAGCTGAGCCAGTGTCTCTCTGTATGTATCTGTTTTCTTCTTCACCTGAGCTAATTGCTCTCTCTCCTGGTGGAGTTCTTCTTCGACATGGTGGAGATTCTCTTCCTGCTGAGCCAATTTTTCCTTTTCCTGAGCCAAATTCTTCCTTTTCTGAGCCAGATTCTCTTGCTTCTGGGTCAGTCTCTGTTTGTTCTGTGTTAATTCTTTCTTGTTCTGGGTCCGTTTTTCCCTTTCCTGGGCCAGTTTCTCTTTGACCTGTAGCAGTTTCTGCCTTTTCCAAGCCAATCTCCTTGCTTCCTTGGGGTTTTTTACCTTCTGCCGTGCCAGCTTCTCTTCTTCCTGCGCCAGCAGCTCTTCTTCCTGGGCCAAGGATTTCTCTTTCTTAGCCAGATTCTCCTCTTGCAAGGCCTGTACTTCCCCTTCCTCATCCAGTTCCTCCTTTTCCTTAACCAGTCTGTCTTCTTCCTGCTTCAGCTCTGCTTCTTTTGAAGCCAGGTCTTCCATGTCCCTTGCCAGTTCCTCTAGTTCCTCAGCCAGCACATTTTCTTGCCAGTCCAGACTTTGCTCCTTCTGCTTCACTGTTTCTGCTGTCTGGGCCAACAGTAATTTTACCTCAATTGCTTTCTCTTTTTTCTTTGCTAGTTTCTCTTCTTCATAGGCAGTTTTCTCCAATTTCTTGGCAAATTTCTTTCTCTTGTGGGCTAATTGCTCTGCTTTGTGGCTCAGCGCCTGTTCTCTCTGAGCCAATTTTTCCTCTTTCTGGGCAAACTTACTCTCTGCTGTGGCCATTTTCTCATCTTTCAAGGACATTTTCACATATTCTTGGGCCAGTTTTCTCTTTTCCTGGGCCAGCTTTCTCTCTTCTTGTGCGAGTTTCTCTTCTTCTTGTGCTAGTCTTTTCTCATCTTTGGCTTGTTGTCTTTTATGTTGGGCTTGTTTCCTCTGACTCCAGACCTTTATCTGCTCTTCCTGTATCTGTCTTTGCTCTTCAGTGAGCAGTTCATCTTTCTCTTTCTCTTTCTCTTTCTCTATCTCTGTCTCTTTCTCTTTTCCTTTTTCTTGTTCTTCTCCTTCTCCTTCTTCTTTCAATTCCTTAGATATTTCCTCCCATTCTTTAAATAGATCTTCCTCTAGAATGAATTCTTTCTCATCCTTGGACGTGGATGACAATACATTTTCCCAGAGCTGTCTCCACTCATCCCATTTCAGCTTCCTTTTTCCCCCCTCCTGTGTTCCTTCCTCTAGGAATAGTTCCTCTTCAGCCTGGGGGAGTTTCTTCTCTTCCTGAAGACGCTTCCTGTCCCAGTCTTTCTTCCATTCTTCCCAAGATATTTTTGTCTCGTTGTGAGCCTGCTTCCATTGATCCCATGAGTTCTTGAACTCCTGCCAAGACAGCATTATTTCAGCAATAGATGATTTTTCTTCTGGCTCAATCACTTCCTCTTCTGCTTTTGCCATTTCCTTGCTTGTATCTTCCATGCTTGAATCCCCCTCTTCTTTGGTCATTTTCCTCCCCTTTTTACCTACTCTACTTTGCTCCAGGGTTGTTTTCCTCTCTCCCATAGATGTCTTCTTAGAGGATTTCTTCTCTTCCTTCTTTGACTTTTGTTTTTTCTTAGTCAGGTCACCTGATTCTACAAAAACAACTTGCTTTTCCTTGCCTTTTTTGGGAACTACCTGCCAGCCCTCCATGTCCCTGTCTTCCCTTTGCACTTGTTCTTCGTACTCCACTGGTGTCTCTTCCTTGTCTCTGATAACCATGTCCTCCCTAATTTCTTCTTCATAGATAAAACTTGGTTTCTCTTCTGGCCAGACTACATCCCTGTCAAGGTCCTCAGGCATTTCCATGCTTTGTTTCTTCAACACAGGGCAGATCTTCTGAAAGAGTTCCCAGCTGGGTTGCCGATCCGCCAGAATCTCCTGAGCCATAGTCACTAACTCAGTGTTTAGATCTTCTGACATTTTTGTTTGGGAACCAGATATCCTCAGGGTCATAAGACGACATAGATCATCCCGCCAGGAGGTGGTAGATCCAACCTTATGGCCAGGCACTCCGGCAGCACCCCGCCCCTGAGGTTTAATTATTTTCCTAGCTGGTTCTTCTGTTATAGTAGGCAAAGTTCCCTCAGTTAAAACTTGTTTTTCTTTTGTCTTCTTGTGCCTCTTTATTGGTTTCTGAGCTGTAGCTTGCTTTTTTGTTGTATCGTGCATTTTCTTTAGCACTTGCGGAGTCTCAGCAGTGTGACCTGAAACATCCATCTCTGAAGGTTCAACATCTTGAAAGTCCTTTAAACTACTTATCGAAGACCTGGTGTAGAGGGTTGTGTCTTCCATCTCAAGTGACACAGTTTCACTCTGATCGGCTTCAACCTCTATGGGGCCCGGCTCTGTACTGATCTGTTTAGAGTCTGTTTCTCTCATCTTTCTAAGACCTCGCAATGATTTTTGGGCTGCAGGAAAAATCAGAAAATGGAGGTCAGGAATGTATGTAGCTCTTCTCAAATCTGGTATGAACTAAGTGAACTGCGGTGAAAGAAGTAGCAATGGAGAGGTCTGTGGCATTTTGTTTTGATTTTAAAGAAAGCATTCTTTTATAGACATGTACGAACTTCTCATAATCAATCTAATCATAACTACAAACATGTCCTAATAAAAATTTTTGAAGTAAAAACAAAATTCTTTATGTATTCCCATTACTCCTTTCTTAACAATCCTTGGGATCTTCCCAAGTTTGGGTAGATCATTCCTAAGAAAATTTCCTTCTATATCTTTACACTTAACTCTCCTTCCCCCAGTATCTCTTGACCCATTTTATTACTAACTACCCTGTTTCTTGGGGATCCTGAGGCATGCATCAGATCATTCCATACATACTATACTTTTTGCCTCCTGCTCGGGCCCGTCTTTGGACTTTGCTTCGCTTGAATTCAGATTCGTCAGGAAGAGTGGCAGGTTGTATGAAGGGGGACCTAGGTACAGAAGCTCCTGAAATATTTAAAGAAAAATAGGGCCTTTTCTCTTCTTCTGACAAGGTCAAGTTTTCATTCAGTCGCCGCTGCACTTGAGTGAAAAGGATTTGGAGATCTGTGGGCCGCATCCCCAGCAGGTGGTCCAGGGATTCGTCCCCAATCATCTCTTGCCTATGAAGGTCAAAGGAGAGGAAAGACTATGTTAAACCAAGGATAGAAGAGAGAACAGAAAGGAAAGAACTGTAGAACAGAAGAGGGTTTGGGAAAGAGACCACGACGGACAGCACAAGTAGAGGTGAATAACAGCTAGGAAGAAAGAAAAAAACTCTAAGAGGCCAAGATGGCAATGACTGAAGAGAATTTGTATAGGAGCTGCAGGAGTAACAAGAAAGATGGAAAATGAAACTTGAAGAAGACAAGGGACAGGCAGGAAATAACAAAGAAATAGAGAAAATAGTGAGTAGACAGGAGATCATTGAGGGTAGTTTAGGAATTAAAAAAAGCTCTGAAACCAGGTATGCACTTGTAATTCCAGATGCTTGGGAGGCTGAGGCAGGAGGATCACAAGTTTGACCCTAATCTGGGTAACACAGCAAAGCCCCATCTTAAAAAATAAAAACAAAGAGTCTATGAAAGAAGAAACATTCAGAAGGACCACTGAACAGGATAAAAAAGATCATTAAGAAAGGGAATGGACAAAATGAAGAAAGAAAAAAAATTAGCAGATGGTAGAGAAGTGAGGAAAACTCAAACAACTTACTGGATGTCGTGGAAAGTCTCTGGTCTCTGAATCAAGTTTAAGAGTGAGGTCTTAGAGTGGATTCCAGTCTCTGGCATGATGTTGAGGGCCTTATTCCTTACTCTTTCATCCTTATCCATTAACCCTTGGGCCAGAGGCAAGGCAAAGAGATGAGTGACCATTCCTAGGCGCTTCAGCCCTTCCCAGGCTAGCTCTCGGATCAGTGGGTTGGAATTGGTTGTTTCATCCAGCAGACGATGAGCAGTCTCAGAGCGCAGGGATGGACACACCTGGTAAGAGGCAAAGATCTGCCCTAGTGCACCAATGCAGCACTGGAACTTCAGTGGAGGAGCATGGGTCATAATAGTGAGGATCGTCTCAACTAGGTTACTAATAGCTACTTCACTCATTTTTCTGCCCAGCCAACTACGTTTTGCTGAGTCTATAAGGACACTGTAGGTTCCCTCCTTGGATTTTCTCATTGCTAGGAAACTTTCATCCTCCTCCTCTTCATATGCTTGCACTTTACTTAAAGTTCTTGCCCTGGTTTGCCAGAAGAAGAAGGGTTGGGATGTTTCCCACTCCAGTTCACGCTGGGGTGAACGCAGGTTACACTGTAGGTGTATCGGGCTGCCCTCTGGCCAAAGACGGGCACGAATCACTGAGTTGGGGATGTAGCAGTCAGGGGCAAGGAACCATTCCCGCCCATCACCAAAGTAGCATCTCAGTATCTGATAAGGGTTGAGTCCATCCCAATAAGTCAGTTTTAACTGAGGAGGAACCACATAATGGTGATGGGGAGGCTTTGTCATCTGTACTCCCTCCTCATGTTTGGGGGTACCCAGTAACACAGGACTCCCATCCTCATCTTCTTCTATGACATGTGGCACAGAATCATCAAAGGCAATGGCCCGCTTATTGACAAGGTTCTGCAGACCCACTAACTCCTGTTTCCCATGACCCAGGTAGATATACTTGGGCAAAAACATGGTCTCAAAAGAGAGGAAGAAGCTTGGTATGAAAGGCTTAGGGGCTTCTAGCACTTCATCTGCTATACTCCTTAAGGAAAGGAGAGAAAGCAGGTTAGGGGGAAGCAGTTTTAAGCAAGACACCAGATAAAGTCCCTGATTGAAACTCACAAGCAGGTCTCCCCTGTCATTTGCAAAGCAGAGCGGGCCAAAGTGCAGTGATGAGTCCAGCATGGCTATGAGTCTGCCATGGAAGTCCCAGATCCGGACAGAGCCGTCACTAGCAGCTGTGACAAAAATACTCAAGGACAGGCAGACATCAAAGGATGTGATAGTACACTGGTGCAGAGGCAGTGTCTCTATGAATTTTGAGCCTTTTTGTGACCCATAGGACATAAAATCATGGAACTTCCAGAGACGCAGGCAGTTAGCATCTGTGATGGCTCCCACAGAGTTGGGCAAGAGAATCAGTTGATTTAGGGGACAGCTGCTGAGAATGCTCGAGAGAGGCTGCAGCTGTACTTTGGTGCCATCAAACACAACTTCTGATAAGTGTATATAGTCATCCATTCCATAGGAACACAGCAAAGAGTTTTCTAGGCCACTTGAAAGCCCTGCAGCCAGTGTAGAGAGTGCCAGGACAGTCCCGTAGTGTATGAATCTCTCTGTTCGGGCACAGCTACACTGGGAAAGCACTCTTACCATACCACTCTGGTGCCCAGAGAATACCAGTCCTTCTATCCCTCGCCCCAGGTGGAAATGTCCATAAGCCAGGCAGTACACAAAGTCCCGAGAATTTGGTGATGTGCATATAAGATACTTGGCTGGGCAAGGACTACGGGTTGTGTCAAACACCAGCACTTCTGTGCTGCCTGTTGCCACAAAGAGCTCCTCTTTACCTGGGTCATAGGCCCAATCCACAGCGTGGTCCAGGATTGAGAAGGGCCAGGTGAGAAGCAGAAGATCCCCTGTTAATGGGGACACAAAACGCAACAGGCCATCTTCTGTAATGCACAGGATCCTGTACCAGTTATCGCCACAGAAGACCCGATGCACCTGCTGGGGAGCAGATCCACAGACATGGAAGAGGCTATAGAAGCAGGGTAGACGGCGCAAGAAAAATGTGTGGGAAGTTTGGCAGAAGAAGGTAGTGTCATCAATAAACTGGAGGCAGTACAGCTCCTCACGGAGTTCTAGTTGCCGAAGTAGGTTTCCTGAAGTAAGGTTCCACTCCTTCAGTAAGCCTTCCTGGCCGGCTGTCAGCAGGGTGTTGGCCTCTGACCGGCTGCGGATACAAACCACCAATGAGGAGTGGGCCTTGAAACTGTGGAGGGCGTGGCTGTGACTGAGGCTCCATACTTGGATTTCCCCAGCCTTGTTTCCAGCATAGAGAAAATCCTTATCCAAACAGGTGAAGCAGCAGGTGATAGAGGAGCCACTGCTGGTGGACACGAACTTCTTCACCTCTCCCAGCCTGCCCTGGCCCTGGCGCTCAAGGACTCTCACTGCAGTCTCACAGAGGGCTAGGAGGGAGCCATTGGGACCATTGAGCACGATTTCCTGCACAAGCTCATTACCAGGTATGGAAATCATGTGAGCTATCTGGAGACCCTTGCCACTGGGATCAATGACCCAGGTGACCACAGACCCCCGGATGCCTGACAGAAGCATCTTCATTTCTGGGTCATAGCAGAGACAGTTGATGTTGAAGCGGCAGGGCACAGTGGCTAGGGGTTTGAATGCCCGAAAGTGGTCCCCAAAGAGGCGCAGGATCAGGTCACCACAGTAAGCCACGAGAATATGAAAGGAACCGGTGTGGACCATTGACTGGATGGGTGGCAGTCGCTCAGTCATGGAGAATGCTCTCTTCTCAACCGTGTCCTCAGATGTGCTCTTCATCCACACTATAGCCTGGAAGAGAATGAGGTAGAAACTAGAAAAGATAGTAAAGCAGAAAAGGGCCAAATACTCAGCTACGCTTTCCTGTTCTTTTGTTAAGGAGGAACTGGAAGACTCTACAGTGATTTTGCCCCCTAGTGATGGGACTTGGAACTAGGGTAGAGGTAGAAAGTGTAGGACCCTTTTTTAAACCTCAGTCTATTTTACAGGAACTCAAGTGTACTCAGCATGGAGACAGTAATTGGGGAAAGTAGGTGGCAGGGCACCAGGATCCAGGTCACATTTATTTAAGGGTTTATATTCCTTTGTCAGTTTGGTCTGAGAGCTGTATGGGTTTGGCCCATAGAAAGTGGGCTAAGAAGGCGGGGGGGGGGTGTTAGCTCATTGGCATAGTGCCTGCCCAGCAAGTGCTAGGTCATGAGTTCGATTCCCAGTACAAAAAAGGAAAGAAAGAAAGAGAGAGAGAGAGAGAGAGAAAGAAAAAGAAAGAAAGAAAGAAAATGGGCTAAGAAGGGAAAGAAGAAAGAAAGAAAAAGAGAGTTTACCTGTGTTTCTTTTGTGTGGGGTGTCACCCAGGAGAGGGAGGCAAAGAAGTGGGCATCACAGAAATAATGGCATATAAGTGGCATATGTTGAGGATGGCGAGATTCTTTGAACAGTATCTGGGACCGGTCACTCAGCACAACTGTTTCATTCTTTGAGGCATCTAACGATTCCTGGAGGGAGACAGCATAAACTAAGATTTATGCTGCACTAAATGTGTTTTCACAAAGTTCATGATTGAAGCAGTTTCTCAAATCACACCTCCCACCTCTCCTAACTCCCATTACACCCACACATGCACAGCTCACCACCAGTGGAATCTCTACATTTGTGACAAATCTCCCAATGCATGAGGGAACCTGAATCCTTAGGCCATGTGTGGACAGTTTTATAGTGGGGGTACAGGGAAAAAAGATATTCTTCCCAAAGTGACATTCACCACATCTGTCCTCTTAACAGTCTTCCTTGTGACTAAAAAGTGCTATAAAAGACATTTAAAAGTTGACCTAAGCAAGTATATCACCTTAACAGAATCTTCCAAAAGTCAGTGCAGCTCTAAATTATCAAAGCTTAAAACTGCACAAGTAAGACATTAGGACACCCTGTCTGGCTGTTAAGTTTGACAAGAACAGCACATAGACAATACGTATTACCCATGCTAGAACATATATGAAATATGTACCTGGGATCTGTTTGCACAGAGCCATCCATAGCAAAACTGAGGTTGGAAAATGCTGTTTCTGCTGTCTTCTCTCTTTATTTGGAAATCTCTTTTTTCAGTTCCTCTGATAATGCTTCAGAGTGTTCATCTACTATAAAGTACCTTTGTAAGAGGCCTATAGTCACATTTGGAAATGGGTGGTCCACTTTCTACTAATGTGACAACTGTCTTGATGGTTTATCGTATTTCTTGCATTTATGGAAAATCTATGGTTCTTCCAAAGTGCTCATTACTGTAAGATAGAGGCTGACCAATGGAGTATTTATACATTACCTTGTTTTTACCTATGATGTCATTTATGAGGAAATTAAAATCCGACCAGGAGGGGACAAGTCTGACAGAAGACATCACCTTGATTTTCCTCAGGTCCTCAGGACCATTACCTAAACACCTGTGGGAACCCCAAAAAAGAGCTGCTTAACTACTGTTACTTTTTGAGGAGCTAGGAATCAGAAGACAAGAACCATGAACTCACATTTACTGAACACCTTGTTTATGTCAGGAATTACAAGACGGACCTTCACATTTAATCCTCACTATGGCCCTGTGACATAGTTATTGCCTTGCTTTATAGCTGTGAAAACTTAAACTTGGAAGGGAAATAGAAACTTAGAGAAGGACAGACAGCCAAGCAATACTATTTGTTGGTTGTGGTCTGTCAGGGGAACATTTTATGAGGACTAGCAGGTTTTCAGAGTGTGGTCCCTGGGCCTCTTATACCAACATTATTGAGGAAGGGAATACATCTTCACATGCCAAGTAGGAGACCCTGTTGTAACCTACATGGAAGTGAGACCCAGTAGCTGTAACTTGTAACAACCTCCCTTAGGGTCTGGATGATTCCGTTGACTTCCAAGTCTGGTTATGGAAGTAGAAAGTACACAGAGAAAATGGACACTTGGGAGTATCAGCCCCTGGCACAACTGGATAAGGGATCCAGCCTTTTGTTTTGTGTGGTGTTTTTTTGTGTGTGTTTGTTTGTTTTGGTTTTTTTTTTTGAGACCAGGCCTTGCTATGTAGTGCAGGCTGACCTTGAACTCACTATGTAGCCCAGGCTGACCTCAAACTTGTAGCAGTCCTCCTACTTAAGCCTCCCAAGTGCTGGGATGATAGACATGCACCACCACGCACAACTCAGCGGGTGGTGTTGTAGGCTTCTCCAGGCTTGTGGACTCAAACAGTTTTCTTCCTGAAGATAATCTGCCATCCACTGTCTGCTTCTTCACTTTATTCTTTTAGTCATCATGGGACAAACTTTTCCTGGTTGGATTTTAAATAAATCTTATAATAATCCTGTTCTATCAAGTGTATAGCATTAGAGGTGCCATAATGGGCCAGTTTTTCATTTGCAAAATGAAAAGGGCAGTCTTCCCTGTGCCACTGTTGTAAAGATCAAATAGGATAATTCATGTGAAATCCTTACAGGATTCTCTGAAACAGCAAACAATGATGATTACCGGTTTTAGGCTAGCTTGGTTCTTAGGCTGGTGACTACTCAATTTCCATTCCTTTCCTACTTTGTGCTTTTTGGTTACTTTGGAAACAGGACAAGTAAACTTATTGTCTGGCCAGAGGAGGACAACAGCAACCAGCTCTGCCCATCAGATGTTCCTGGAGTGTTGGTTCCCTTGGTTGGCAGTATCAGCATCACCTGGGAACTTGTTAGAAATGCACATTATTGGGGGCTGGGGATTTAGCTCAGCGGCATAAGTTCCTGCCTTGCAAGCAGGCGGTCGTGAGTTCGATCTCCGGTACCGATAAAAAGGAAAAAGACAAAAAAGAAAAAGAAGAAGAAGAAGAAGAAGAAAATGCACATTATTATTTAAACCCGACCACTTTTTAATTGGAAAGGACAAGATCCACCAATTTCTCTCGTTTTTATTTAAAAGGGGAAAAAATAGAAATGATACAGAATTTCAGGACAGGATAATAGGAAATGAACAATGATTAATATATCATTATTATCTTCAAAATAGTTGCTCAGATTACATGATATAGGCATGCAAAATTGATCAATATAAGCACAAACTATTCTTTTCATCACACTAAAAGAAATTAGTAGCATAGTTATCTTAGCTATTTTGTAAGATAGCAATCTAGATACCTTAGCTATGTTATCTAGTATAATTCTTAACTATCTTAGCTATTTTATGTAATATGTATGTGTGTGTGTGATATATATTACATCTTTTATCCTTTTCCCCATCCTAGTTGTTCTTTTCTTTTGAGCAGTTTCTTTCCCTTTCATAATATCTATTGTACATTTTGGATTTTATTTATTCTTTCAGTTTCTTACACCAGGGAGACAATATGATGTTTATGAGTTTGATTTATTTCACTTATGAGTATGGTCTCTAGTTGCATCTATTTACCTATAAGAGCCTTGAATTTATCCTTCTTTATAGCTGAGTAGTACTCCATTATATAAAAATACTGCATCTTTTTTATCCTACCTCGATGGGCATTTGGGTTGTTTCCAAGTTTAACGATTACATGTTGTGTTGCTACAAACATAGATGCACATATATTGCTGTGATATGATATTTTTAATTCTTCTGGGAAGATACCAAGAAAGGGAATAGCTGGGTCAAATAGGACCTCTCATCCTAGTTTTTTTTTTTTTTTTTTAGGAAACTTAACACTGCACAGTAGCATAAAAAACAATGAAATACTTAGGAATCAGTCTAACAAAAGAAGTAAAATATCTATACATTGAAAATTACAGAACTCTGAAAAACAGAGATTGAGGAGGGCATCACAACTTGGAAAGGCACCCCTTGCTCATGGACAGGAAGAACTAACATTGTGAAAATGACCTTATTCCAAAAACTGTTATACAGATGTAATGCAATCAGAATACCATCAGCATACCTCACAAATGTGGAGAAAACATTCCTAAAATTCATTTGAAAACAGAGACCTAGAATAGCAAAGGCAATTCTGGGCAACAAAGACAAGGCAGGAGGCATCATAATCTGTGACTTGAAATTATACTACAAAGCTATTGTGATAAGATCAGCATGGTACTGGCAAAAAAACTGAGGATCAGTGGAATAGAACAGAAGATGCAGACACAACTACAAACATTCAGCCACCCTATCTTTGACAAACATGGCCAACATGTTCACTGGAAGGATAGATTCTTTAATAACTGGTGCTAGAGCCAGGGATTTAGCTCAGTGGCTTAAGTTCCTGCCTGGCAAGTGTAAGGTTTTGAGTTCAATTCCCAGTATCAATAAATAAATAAACAAATAAATAAATAAATGGTGATAGAATAACTTGCTATCTACATGCCAGAGACTAAAACTAGACCCATGTCTATCAACATGCACTAAACCAAAGTCAAAATGGATCAACTACCAAAATACAAAAACAGACAGTCTACTGGAAGAGAAAGTAGGTAGAAATCTTGAAAGTAGAGGTAGACGGTTCATAAACAAAAAACTAAACTGCATAGGACATACTTCAAAGAATCAACAACTCAGGCCAGGGATATAGCTCAGTGGCACCATACCTGCCTGGCAAACATGAAGTTGTGAGTCTGATTTCTGATATCCCCCCCCAAAAAGAATCAACAACTGGAATCTGGTCTTATTAAAAAAAATTTTGCCGGGGCTGGGGATTTAGCTCAGCGGCATAAGCGCCTGCCTTGCAAGCAGACAGTCGTGAGTTTGATCCCTGGTACCGATAAAAAATGATTAAGAACCCCCCAAAAAATTTTTGCCTATCCAAATAAATCACCAACAGAGTGAAAAGAAGACCCACAGAAAAGGAAATCTTTTAGCCAACTGTCCCTCAGACAGCAGATTTCTAGCTAGAACATACAAAGAATTGAAAAATATCAGGTTCCCAAATTCAAAGACCCAATCCAAAAACAGGCATCTGGGATGATTATATACTTCTCAGATGAAATACAAATGACAAATAAATGTATGAAAAAATGTTCAACATCATTGGTCATTTGAGAAATGCAAATTAAAACAACACTGAGATTCCATCTCATCCCAGAAAGAATGGGTATCATCAAGAAATCGACTAGTAACAAATTCTGGTGGGGCTGTAGGGGAAAAAGAGCCCTTCTCCACTGTTGGTGGGAGTGTAAACTGAATACAGCCACCAATTTCTTTTTGCAGTAATGAGCAATGAATTCAAGGCCTTTGCCTTGGGCTTTGCATTGACCTATACCTCCAGCATGTCCCTATTTCCCCAGTTTGGAGACTGGATCCCATTAAGTTGCTAAAGTTGCCCAGGCTGTTCCTGAACTTGGGATCCTTCTGCATCAGCCTCTCACCAGTGCCGGGATTTCAGGTGTGCGCAGCCACACCCAGCTAAATAATCTGGGCTTCACAGAGCTCTTCAGCTAATCTGATACACTCTTAAAGGTAAGGCTTCAGGTTAAGAGAGTTACTGGAGTCCCCCGTCAGTGTGGCTTGAATCTCCAAAGCAAGGTCAGCAGTACCCACCCTCTGATGTGGCTGAGCCTATGCTCCATATTGCCACAGACTTGATGGCTAGATTTGGGGGGAAGCAGCAGGCACAATTCTCTGGCATGTGTGGAGTGGGTTAGCACCCAAAGAGATAGATGTTGTCTACCTCGTGTGATTAACATAAAGTCTGAGAAGGAAAGGGATGTTTTGGAGGCTACAAGGGCAGGTTCAAGACTAAGAGCCCATCCACAGCTCTGGGTTCTGTGTCAGAGGAGGAAGAGGCTCTGCTAGATGATACTAAGGACGTACTCTGATCACCAGATCCACTAAAAGCAAGCACGGGGGACTGGTGTCTGACATTTGCACCCCATCTCCTTCCACACCCAGGCTGCACACTGTGCTCCTGTGTTGTCATTTTCATTTTGTTTCCCTTTGATCCTGCACTCGCCGCACATTTGGATCACTGTGCAGGAGCCAGTGGGCTCTGCTTCAGATCATGCACATCAGTGGGCGTCCATGCGGGCCAGCCCCACAGCTCAGGTTCACTCCAGTAGCTTCTTAGACTACAGAGCTGCTGAGGGTCATCCTTTGTAGCCACTTTAGTCACTGCCAATGATTTCCATGTTCTCTGTGTCTCCCCTGTGTAGAGGCCACACTGACTGCATTTTGTCCAGGATACATCTAGTCGACAGTGTTATGGGAAAGTGCAGGCCTTTGAAACATCGCCCCCACCCCAAGGTAAAAACATGGGTCCTGTAAGGTCAAGAAGTAAACAAGTTATATAATCTGAGCGTGCACAATTTGAGTTTCTTTGTTCTTTATCTCAGTAAAAGCTACTTGCTCAGGCTGGCTGGGCGGCAGCCATTTTGTTGACCCTTAGTGTGTGTGATCCTTTATTTTCCCTTTGCTTGCAGAACCCCA